TTGCTCTGGAAGAAAGTGTTAGAAGGCATGAACACGTACTTTTGGCTTTCAGCTCAGCCTGCTTCAGCTACAGATGGTTCACTGTATCCAGTCACAGGTTCTCATGCTCCTCTGAAGGGTTACCCAACACCCAGAAACAGGCAGTTTGTAACCACGTATGTGAGTTTTATCTCCACTGTAATGTGCAGTTCTCTCTCTTTTAGTACAGTACCAGTATTATCAAGTCTTTATCATTGCTGCAGGAGTGGCTCAGCCCCAGTCTCCTTCCTGTCTGCTCATCAAGGATTATTGTGGAATTGTTACTGAAAATTAGATTAAACGTGAACTTTAGTTTAAATAAGATGTAATTCTGTATCTTGTGTTAGAAGCAGCCTCTTCTGTTGTCATCATCTATGAAATAGAAAATAAGTGTTCCCAACCTGTTTTACAGAAGCAGTGTATTTTAGTTTTACCCATCTTTTGTTGGCAGGTGCAGACAAGACTTCAGACATTGATTTCTAGCCTGCAACAGAAAACAAGTGAGATTGAGATTTTAGCAGTAAGTATTTGGCAGAAGCCTGAATTTATTTCAAATTCTTAATTGAATTGGATGTGCAGTTGCTGTCCAGAACAAAGTATTACCAATTGCCTCACTTCAGAGATACCAAAATCAACCAAACTTCTGGTAAAGTAAGACCCATGGCAGGCTTCTTTAATACTTGAAAAATATCTCAAATTGTTTATATTGCACAGAAAAAAATTTAAGAACTGTTTAGGTGTGAATTCTTAATGACTTGTTCCTGCTGGATTTGCTCTTACATTTAAACCAACATTGCTTTTGTTTGTGTATAGCTTTCAGCTTCTAGACTTTGGTGACCATGTCACAAAGGACTTCAAGGTGGCATATGCTTTTCAGGAAACATACTGCCTGTTTGCCTATGCTTATTTGGAATTTGCCATAATACCACGAACAGTTTGAAATGCTTAAAACCTTGGTAAATTCCCAGTTCTATCAGCACAAGTGCTTTGGAAATCAAAAAGTCTGACTCTCTTCAGTATATAGTTAATCTCCAGTTGGCAAGAAGAACTGTTTCATATTGATTTCTTGATGATACCTTTACAGGTAGATCTGCCAAAAGCAACTGTGATACACTTCTTATCATTAGAGGTAAGCACTTCAGTAATGTTGTTGAAACTCTAATGGAACAATAGATGATAAATTCTGTTCCTAATGAAGTAAAACACGAAATTCAGTTCTTTCTCCTTCAAGGTGTTTGAATTAGGTTTTAAAACTTGAAAGGATTTTTTTACTCAAGGAGCCTGACTGAGGCTAGAAAAACTTGTCAAATGCCCAAGTTACGACTGCCTAATGGTGTCTTGTGTAATCCAAAGCTCTGTGGTTTTTTCCCCAAGAGCAGTTAAGTGAAATGTCAGTTACTGCTCATTTTCAGAAACCAGTGAAGTATTAATAGCAGTTTCAACAAAAGTGTTTCTTGAAGCTGTTAATGAAGGAGAACCCAATACAGAGATGATAATTTCAAGTACAGTAGCTGAAACATCTCTTTGTGACGCCAAGATAAAAAGGGGATGTATAAGTATTATATTAACACTTTTAACTACTCAGAAACTGCTTGATTACGGGGAAAAAACCCATCAAAGACACAGCTCTCGTCTTTCCTCCAGTGACAGCAGTAGCTTTAAAGGTAGAAGATCTTATTAGAGATGCCTCGCTACCTCCCAAAAAAACCAAACTCAGGAGCAGCACTCTTGACTGGAACTGGATTTAGTACTTTAATAGCTTGTATCTGCTGCTCTGGAGAGCTTGTACAGGCTTATCTGGTAATCAGAGCCCAGTGAAACAATTGAAAATATTTTCAAAATATTTAGTTTATTCAGTCAAATAATGGAGATAGTCTGTCACCTTTTTACTTATTAAAAAATAAATGAAAACCACACACCATCAGTTTGTGTCATTCACTTTTTGACCACCCTTACACCACAGCTTTCATGTTGTACCCAGCATTGCAAAACTGGTAGAGCCCTTTGCATTGCTTACACCGCTTTATTGCAGAAACATCTGTGTTCAGAAACTGATCACTAAATTCTTAATACATCTTCTTAAAATCATTTTTAAAAATCAAGTTGCAGTGTTGTTTATATGAATTTTGTTTGAAACCTGTTTAATTAAGGAGCATTGACATGACAGTGTTCAAAAGACTGAATATTAGGGGGAGGAGCATTTCCTTCATGAGAGAATGTGAGACACAGTCACAGTTCCTTGTCATTTTTTTTCTTAGTTTGATGGAGGTAAACAAGCCTTTGATGCTACTGTGAGACAACTGATGTCACGATGGCCAAAACAGCGATGTTCATACTTACAAGCAGTTTGTGATGAAATTTACAGTATCAAAATGGAAAAGAGGTAAATTTGTTAAGCTCTCACATGAAACAGAATCACAGAATATGAGGAGTTGGAAGGGACCTCGACAGATCACCCAGTCCAACCCCTGCCAGAGCAGGATCACCTAGACCAGGTCGCACAGGAGCACGTCCAGGCGGGTTTTGAATGTCTGCAGAGAAGGAGACTCCACAACCTCTCTGGGCAGCCTGGGCCATGCTCTGGCACCCTCACAGTGAAAATGTTTTTTGTTATGTTCAGGTTGAACCTCCTGTGCTCCAGCTTGCTCCCATTGAGTGCTGTTTTTTGCTAACATGAAACAAAATGGGAAGAATTTAGTCTGATCTGATCCTCACGTGTGGTAAAATATAAATTCTTCACATTTATAAGCCTTTTCAAGAAATTCTAAAATGTATGCCCACTGCTACCTCATTTGCTGCTTTGTTCATAAAACTGAACAGCAAACCACTCTATACATTCAGGTTTAGTGCTGTTCCACTACATAGTAACCCTCTTTTCTTGTGGGAGGGACTCGGCTCGCCTTTTAAAACTCACGAGCATGTTTATTTCCTCCTACTGTGAAGGAATACGATGGGAATGTGGCACAGCTGACATGCTGCCCAGCTTTAAGCAAACAATGATGCATGCTTTTCCAATGGGTACAGTAAAACCCATCTCTGTCTTTCTAAGCAAAAAACATTTATGTTCAGCTGATCATTTTGGATTCTGGGAAGGCTGCAAGAGTCTGGGCACATCCAGTTTTAAGCCTCTAACTTTCAACTCTTGCATATACTGGTACAGTTCAGTGAGAACTGGGTATTCATGTTCTCTTTTGGGTTTCATTTATAAAGTATTTTCTGAAACCTGTGTTCTGCTTGAAGGTACTAATTAAATTTTTATTGAGACTAAAAATTGACTTTTGATTCTTAGAGTGCACCAAAACTGCTTCAGCTTTGCTAATGTTTACTGAGGCAACTAAATGATAAAGTGAAACTTCTTTTTTCTTCCTGTGGTTTGCAAGTGTGTAAGCAACAGAAAGCAGTTACTACATAGGAGTAATATTCCTTACGATGTTGGGTGTGAATGTAATGCAGTCCCTCACAGAGTCTTCCTTTCTCATTTGGTGCCTGCACACAGAACACTGCTTAGCCATAAGGCCTCAGATTACTGATAGAGAATGAAGGGGAATGCTGCAGTCACAGCCACAGGAGCTGACTCTGACTGGTCTTCTGCTGAACCCTTGCTGTTAGCTTATTGCTCAGACTTGCTACAGGTGGTGTGTAGCTTTTGAACTTGCAGTTTAAAAATTCTTTTTCTTTCCTCTGCAGGGTTCCTGCACTCATCCTGTACAGTTACCGAGATGAATACAAGGTTTTGTTCTAGTGCTTAAAGCATCTTTTATGGGATGCTTTTATTAACAGACAGTGGTGTTTTGTCAAGGAATTACAAAAAGCTGTAATAATGTAAGACAGGCAGCTAATGCCTTTTTGTGTCCAAACTGAACTTCATGTGTAATATAGAACTGTAAATTTTTGTGAAAAAGTGGAAATAAATGTTTTATAGGCAATTAAGGAGCAAGTCTGACTCCAGCCAGAGGTATGTACATATCAGCATGTAATTCTTGTCTTTATGCCACAAAAGGTTATCAGCTCTGCAGGTGTGAAACTTTTTTATATAGTTTCAGAATGCTTTTACATCAATGTGCAACAGTAGTACTGAAACGAGAAACTTAGCTCAAGGATTAGAAAGGATGAATTATATTCTTCACTGTTTTAAACTTTTTCTGAGAATGGTTTTTATGTAATAAAAGGTTTTGCTACTGAGCCTTCCTGAAAAGTATGTATGTGAAAGCTTTGTGTTTTGTTTTGTTTTTTAAATTGTTTTAATTTCTATATAAGAGAGTTGTTGAAAGCCTGGCTGCCCACGCTTGTCCTGCCTGTACTTTTGCATTAAGCAGCAGCTTCCCGAGAGAAGTAAGACCTGATACAGGCAAAACTTGTTTCACACCTGAAGGACCTAAACCTAAGACTTTACTTAAACAGTAACTGCAAGTACTAGAGGCATAACCAAAGTTTTGAACTGGCTTCCTTCACATGGGTTGTCAGATTAAGTTTGAAGTTAAAATCATAGTAGTGACAGGAATCTTCTAATTATCATCTTGAAGCTAAACTGTAACACAGCCCCATGAGAAGGGAAGCTGAGCAAAGCTGAAGATGAGTTACAGCAGCTGTAGTTAGCTATGCATTGTATTTCTATTAGTAATACTGGAGTTAATGTGCAGAAAAGGGGTAGATTTCTGGTGTTCACCCACTCTCCCTCCCCACCTCCTACATGGTGTTCAAACAGTTTGTTTCTTTCTCTTAAAACCAATGCAAATTGCCTGCTAAAGACAATCATTTAAGACTTATTTATGTTTCCTGCCCTTTTTTTGTAGTAAAGAGGAGGGCAAAGGTAAAATACATAGACATAACTTTAAAGACAAACCCAAGAACTCCCGAGAACTGTGGAAGCTGTAACAGAACCACCCACTGTAGCATCAGCAGAGTCAGTTCTAAAGGCACAAATAACCATACCGTTCCTAGCAACTCCCAAGACAAGTCACATCAGTCATTACAGCCAAATCCATTTCTCACTGTGTTTAATAGGAACAGTTCAGTATTCACCTCTTACATCTGCTCAGATGAAGGAGCTACTTTAAGATATGAAGTATGAGGAAATTCAGATCCCTGGATATAGTGAAGGATGAAAGCTTTAAAAAGAAGTTTAGGTGACATGAGCATTTTTAAGCCATGTCTGAAGAGAACAGAATGCACAGTCCTGTCCTGCCTGCCACCTTGAGCCAGGGTCAGCACAGGTGGATCAGCATGGAGCAATGGCACAGCTGCCTGGCTCTGCAAGAGCTCAAGCATTGTGCTGGCTGCCTCAGGAGCATCTGCACTGCATCATGTAGACTTGTCCCTCAAAGTAAGACAGAAACAGGAAAGCTGCTGTTCCTGATCATATGTTGGCACCCACTTTCCCTAGTACTACCGAGGCTTAGCTATAGAACTGGGCATCTGTCACTGAGACTCCTTCTCCAGTCTCACTTTGCTTCTGGTACAATGTGTTTCTATTCACCCGTGTTACCCCCCAAGCAGGTTTTACACTGCCCACTTGTATAATACAAAAAAACCAGCAGTATAAGTACAAAACTAGTTGGCAGCTGAGTGTAAAGCTATTTTGGTATAACCCTGTAAATGCTCCTGCCACAGAACAATCCACAGGAAGCACCTTCTGCTCTCAGTTTAAACAAAAGTACTGATTGCAGCCCAGTATCCTGCTGGAAGGAAAGCCAAAGACAAGTGGTATCTCAAGAACAAATGGACTTCGCTTTGAGCAAGGGTCAAGTCTGTTGCAGTGACAGCAGGACACCGTTCCATCACTGTGTTGCTTTACTCTTCTTGTTTTTGCTTTTCTTGTCTTTTTTCTTCAAGCCATCCATGTTAGCTCTCAGCAAATTTGAATATGCCTGAAACATTAAAAGAACAAATACTTCAGTGACACCACACTAGAGGCAACTTTGTACATACAGGGGATAAGTATCTACATTTTCTCAGTTAAAGAATCCTGCTCTTACACCATGAAACTATTGTTTCTAAACCAATGCAGAAGGTTTAAGCATCCCATTGTATTTTATCTAAACAAATGCAGATAAACATGTAGTCTAAGGTTAATCTGTGTGCCAGTTCAGCACTGAATCAACCTGATGACAGCTGTCCAGTGCTTCCTACTGACTACTCCCCAATACCTACAGAAAAGGAAGACAAAAGACATACAAAACTTACCATCTGGAATTTATTTACTTCTTTTGAGCTCACCTACAAAAGGAATACTAGAGGTTAACCAAGAAAACACTGGCTTCCATTACAAACCAAGTATCAGTGCATGTTTACCCACCAGTGACCATTTGGCCTTTCTAGCAACAGTTGGATCAACTCATCACATGCAGTGGTAGGAAGGCTAATACTGTAATGCTAATACAGCTAAGGCTGTACTGACAGGTCATGAGACTTCACTGATTTAGAAAACTGAAAGCACTCCTTACTCAATTAACAAAACCCTCTGGAAGTGATTTGTCCCAGGTCCATGTGTTTTCAAATGGGAAGAACCATTCTAAGGAAGGCTTTGTTTACTTGTAGGGCCATAAAAATATGTTGCAGCCCAGATCCTCTCCACTATTTCTCAAAGTAACATTTTCCTTGGGTTACATCACAGAGGAGAGCTGAAGTCAGCTGACACCTTTACCAATCTCTTTCCAAGTAAATACACATCAAGTTTTCAACTTACAATGAGCATTTCCTGAAATACAAATAGCTCTGTAAATGAGAAAAAAAACAGGTGTGCTAAGCAAGACTAAGGCTTAGAAGAGTCCAACCATGCCCACACATTCTTGTCAGGAAACAACAATCCCTTTCCCCCTTCCCTCCACACAGCGTCACCTGACTGAAAGCACAGCAGCTGAAAACAAGCTGACTCACTCACTGCTGTCCTGCAATACCATTCTGAAGGAAAATCCAGCATACAGAGCAAAACTAAACCACTGTGCCATCTGTAATGCTGAGTGTAAGCATTAAGAATTCAAGGTAAGTGCAACACTTCAACACCCCAGCTCCAGCTGTGTTTGGCTACCATATGGTTTCTCTGGAATCAAAAAAGGTAGTTCTCATGAAATCCATGTAAAGGCAAACTGCAGTTAAAATATGGGGCATTAAATAAAAATAGGGCCACTAATCTTTTTAACCCAAAGTTGTCACTTACCACTGTGCTAATTTTCTTCTTTCCATCAGTTGCTCTTAGAAGACATTTATTGTCTGCTGGTTCAAAAGTTTCCACATGGCCTTTGCGTGGGACTGGTTTTGTTCGACCATCGTCTGTATTGAAAGACACAGAATGTTTATACATATTTCATTAAAAATCACCAGATGCCTCCTGACATGAGATGTTACAAGTTGCTCATGAGGAGATCTGTAAAGTGCCTTGGAATTTAAGGCCACCTGAACTGGCACTGCTGCCCAATTGTTGACCCCTTCCTCTGTAACCCCAGAAGGATCTGTTCCACAAACTGCATCTGCCAGGAAAAAACTGTAAATCCTTGGCCCAACACTGTCTGAACTGCCTGCTTCAGCAGCAGTACATTTTAAATGCACATCAAACTGCAGCCTAGGACACTTGACTATTTGAGTAGTGCCAGCTAGCCAGAAACCAGAGAAACACACACACAAAACCAACACTATAATTCTCCTTTTACAGAAATCTAAGGATCTCCAATTATCAATTAATAATTAGAAAGTCCTGCAGTTTGAAATACAGTCTTGCTTCAAGGTACTGCAGCTACAGTGATTGATACAGCCATGCAAGTATCCTTGTTTTCAGAGACTGAATTACTACTGTATCTTGTAATATACATGCTAACACGATAAGTTTGACTCAGATAAACCTCTCTTTAATCCAGTAACAGACTTTAAACTTACATTTCTTCAGCGTTATGAAAACACTCCCCGAAGTTCGACACTTTTGAAAGAGTCTGGTGAGCTCAGTCAGGAACTGCAAGAGAAAGAGACGCTGTCCTTGGCTGGAGACCCCCACACCCACGTTTATTTCTCCCTCGCCATGCAGACCAGTGGCTCGCTGCCCCGGGAGCGGCCCCGTCCTCGCTCCGGCGGTACCGTTCCCACAGGCCGGGCTCTCTCCGTTCTGCGGGGACGAGGGCCAAGGAAAGGAGACTCCCGGCCTTGCCCACGCTGCAGCTGCAGGACACGGGCCCCCAGCCGAGGACGGCCTAGCACCAGATTCTGACTGCGGAAAACGCGGTCTAAACCCTCCAGATCTGCCGCGGTCCCAGCGCGTCTGCCCTCCCTCTACTGCCCAAGGCACCGGGTACAGCGGTGCTCGCTCCCCTTCCACGCCACCAGGGCAGGCGAAGGGACAGACCGGCGTGGGCCTGGCGCACCCCGGGGTCTTGCGAGGCCTTCCTCCTCCTCCCCCGCC